CTGCGTGTGTCAAAGAAGACTCCACCATTCATCCACCTCGGTTAGACGCACCCAGTGCAATGGTTGGAGTCATCGTAAGACCTGCTCAGGCCTTAATACCCACAGGGAATGGACCACGAGTTATGTGGCCCCATACTGCCAGCGTCAAACCGCCCCCCCAGCCTCCACGGCAGTGCCTTCAGCACACATACCCACTCTGGGTAATCTGCAGACCTCCACGGTCTTACGGAGCTCCCCGCAGCATGATTCCCTCCAACCTCCACCCCCATCCCCACCCACAACCAGCTCCTCATCCTCCTCCCGTGCAAGGGCTACCCAGCAGCTCCTAGTCCCCCGCACCGTCTGTTCCGTGTGTCAGACCATAGTGCGTCGGAACGTGACCTCAGTCAGATGCAACTTTTGCTCTGGTTGGTGTCACTTTCGGACGTGCTCTGGCCTGCGCACCACCCGTGAGTGGAGCAATGCGTATGTTGCCCCGTGCTGTAGGAGTCTGCCCCCGCATGTCTATACAAATCCTCGGCTAACCAACACCAATGTGCGGAGCCAACTCTCGCGAACGTTTCCCCGAGACAGACCCGACTTCTACAATTTAACTGCAACGGACTCCAAGGAAAGATTGACGAGATAGTCGACTATATGAGCCGGGAGCACCTGTCAATTGCTGCGATCCAGGAAACCAAGTTGACCGCCCGATCAGATCTTCTGAACAGGGCCGGATACAACATAATCCGCAAGGATCGCGAGCGAGACCATGGTGGGGGCTTAGCGTTCATCCTGCACAACACCGTGCAGTATCGTCTCATCGATGGCGACATCGACCGCAGAGATACTACCCTAGAATGTCAGGGCATAGCTATCCGGTCAGGCGATGTCGAGCACGAAATATTCAATATATACATTCCTCCAGTTACAAGTTGCCCAGCTGGATACACCCCTGATATAGGTGCGCTACTCAGGGGCGAAAACCGTTTGGTTTTGGGCGACTTTAACGCGCATCACAATCTTTGGCATTCTAGCCTGTCAAATGACCGTAGAGGAATGGAGCTGGCGGAACAGATAGCCGATTCGACATTCTGCACAATGAACGACAACACCTCCACCAGAGTTATGGGTAATTGCCAAAGCTCGCCAGACATAACAATTGCGAGTGCTGGTCTGATAAACAGTATAGTTTGGCGACCTTTGCTGACGTTAGCATCGGACCACTTGCCCATACAAATCTCGATTGACAGGCCTCCCGACTTTGTTTCCGCGGACCACTGGACATTTGTTAACTTTAAAAAAGCTAACTGGCCCGGATTCACGGAACTCACTGAGAACGCCTTCAATGCTCTTCCCACTCCAACTGACGTCACCGCTGGTGAACGCTCATTCCGCAGGGTCGTCGTGACCGCTGCCGCGCGCTTCATCCCGGCAGACCGAATCGCGGAAATCTGCCCAAATTTTCCGACAGAAGCGGCGGTACTAGCATTCAGGCGCGACACCCTCCGAAGCTCCGATCCCGGGAATCCCCTAATCAGGGATTTAAACGCGGAGATTCGAAGAGTTGTTAACCGTCATAAGCGGAAAAAGTGGGAGGAGCACCTAAGGACCTGCAACCTCTCAGAGGGTCATCGGGAAGGCGAAAGCCTCCAAATCCATCGGCCCCGACGGAATAAGCATGCTGATGCTGAAACATCGTGGACCAGCGGGAGCAGAATCTCTCACGAGGGTCCTCAATTTGTCCCTGACCACCCTGAAGATACCCGACGTGTGGAAAATGGGTAGGGTGGTCCCGCTACTTAAACCCGGGAAACCAGCCAACAAAGGAGAGTCCTATCGGCCGATAACTCTCCTCTCCCCAGTAGCTAAGACACTTGAGGCCTTACTGCTCCCGACCTTCACTCACCATCTGCGTCCAGCAATGCATCAGCATGGCTTCCGAAAAGTGCACAGCACCACAACAGCACTTAACGCCATAAACATCCAGATAGTCCATGGCCTCAACCAAAACCGACCCTGCGCGCGAACTGTCCTAGTAGCACTGGACTTGTCAAAAGCTTTTGACACAGTCAATCACTCAGTGCTACTAACGGACATTGAGGAATCCTCATTACCGCCGGGGTTGCAGAGGTGGGTCATGGGCTACCTGAGTGGTCGACAATCATCTGTAATATTCCCAGGTGTAACATCTAAACCCAGAAAAATTAAGCAGGGGTTTCCGCAGGGTGGTGTCCTCTCCCCGCTACTGTTTAACTTTTACATATCGAAACTCCCTCTACCACCAGAAGGAGTTTCCCTAACCTCGTATGCCGATGACTGTACGATAATGGCGCCCGGCCAGGATATTGATGACCTCTGCTCGAAAGTAAACGGCCACCTCGCTGATCTCTCCCACTTCTCTTTTTGCAAGACAATTACGAATCCAACCGACAAAATCCTCGGCTACCCTTTTTACCAGCTGGACGAAGGAATACAGGCTTGAACTGGATGTGAAGGTCGATGACACAAAAATTCCGACGATAAATAACCCAAAAATATTGGGAGTAACTTTAGACAGCCTGCACTCCTTCACTCCGCATACGACCGCAATTGCCGCAAAGCGCTAGCCGGCAGCACCTGGGGTAAAGATAAAGAAACTTTGCTGGCTACTTACAAAGCAATTGGCCGGCCGGTCGTAAACTATGCTGCACCGATCTGGACGCCGGGGACGAACGAGACGCAGATGAAGAAGCTACAGGCTTGCCAAAACACCGCCCTCAGGACTGCGACAGGACACCTCCTGATGTCGCCGGAGCATCACTTGCACAGGGAAGCATCTATGCTACGAGTTAAGGAGCATAATGCTTTGCTGTGCAAGCAGTTCCTATTGGGATGATACCGCAGGGAGCACCCCAGTAGGCACCTAATAGACGCTGAACCTCCACCTAGGCACATCAGAAAGGGAGTACTAGATTTTAAGGACACAATCCAGCAACACACACAACAACCGCTGGACAGGACGGCGTATCGACAAGCACTGAACGCCATTCCCCAGGAGTCAGTCAACACCTTTATTGACTCCCTTCCAGTGAATGGCGTACTCGGAGAAATACCACCACCCATAGCAGACAACGAGCTCGGGCTGCCTCGAGAGACCCGCTTGACCCTGACACAACTCAGGTCTGGATATTGTAGCGGGTTAAACTCCTACCTATCCAGACTAGACCCCAGCATACCTAACGTATGCCCGGCATGTGGAGAGTCCCCGCACGACACTAACCACCTCTTCACATGCCCCCTCAAACCCATTCATCTAACCCCCCACTCCCTTTGGTCCAACCCCGTCGAAACAGCTCGTTTCCGGGCCTACCACTAGATGACCTCGGCGACTTAGACTGAACAAACCTGTGCCTAAGCGGGGTTAGCGAACCGCTACAACAACAACAACAACAGAGGTCGGTTTCCGATCGCCAAAGCTATAAATTTTATTACGCGCCAATGTGTATATATTTACATACATACATACTTCAAAAGTTATCAATACTTTGAGTTACACTTTTTCTTACTGCGAGTCTGCTTTTGTTTTGCCAACAAAACTTTTATGTAAATATTTGATAATCACGCACAGTGGCTCCAAATAATAAGGGAACAGTAAGAAAAACTTTACATTAATCTAAATATGTAGGATAAGTCATAAAGAAATTGATTTAAAAAAGTGATATTTGTGGGGCTTAACAATCAAAAAAGTTAATGGAACACAAAAAAATTCTAAATAAAATTTGAAGTCAAAAAATGTTTAAAAGTTTAATATTTTTGGTAATTGTAGGCCTCCATAACGAAGTTCACACAAAGATTTGTTATGAAGTTAGTAATCATAGTTTGGAAAAACCAGAAGGCATATTCCCAATAAAATAAGGAAAAATTTTTCTAATATCTTTTTCATGCAACCGCATATTAGAAGCTCTCTAAACAAGACTTATGTATATGCATAATATACAAATGTATATTTCCAAAAATTTTTGCCAATCACAAATCCACCAACAAATGTTTCCCACTTAAGCACAAATATATTATATGTTATATTTGTAGTAATAATATCATATGTAAATCGGTGTAAGTCCTTAAGTCACGAACTTTTCTTAAATTCGTAAATTCAATAGTTGGCCTTTCTCTTAACCAGTTAACTCGTATAAAATCACTATTGCGAAATCCGAAAAACAAAAATCAATACACTGCTACGAATCTTTGAAAAATCAATGAAATAAATGCCTGATAGAAAATAACATTAGTGGCAAGCTTTTTGTTTGTTTTCCTCCCTGGAAGACAGCTGTAACAGATACACAAATACATCTTTAACATTTTTCAGCTGTTCATTAACAGAATCACAACTATGCTGTGGAATTTGTCCTTTTCTAAGTCAAGGGTATACCTATCGACATTTAGATATCAATGTTTAAAAAAGAGATGAAATTATATTTATAGAAACAAAACCAAGCTTTCATGAATGCTGCCGGGTTGCGCGAATTTGAAAAAAGGAATATCCGTGTGAAGAGGTAAATAAGTTATATTATATTATATTAGATTAGATTAAAATTATTATATATTTCAATTTTTTTCTCAAACAGAAGTTCGCGGCCGTGTTCATACATAGGCAACCAAAATCATAGTTTTTTATGCTAATATAATAAATATGGCGAGTAAAATATAAATTAAATTTTGGTTGTTAAGAAAGGTCAAGGATGATTTATTGTGTGACTCGTATTTCTTTCTATAATCTGAGGTGGCTTGTGTTGTTGTTGAAACCGCAAAAATATTCCCCAATACTTTCTAGCGATACCTTTGTTCACATTTGGTGGCCTTCGGGTGTTTGGACCTTGGTCAGATCACCATAAGGTAATGCGCAAAGATGATTTGGTCATTTTGGTGCCATTATCTTGGAAAAAGATCGCTAAATCTGTGTCCGCAGTGACGGTAATGAGCAAGTACCGCACAAACTTTTACACCTAATTATACACTCCAGTTTACAAAGTGCAACAAACCTGCATCCGAATCGGAATCGCTCATTTTTTACTTCAACAGCCCAGATCGATTCCTCAAATATATTGTTTTTAACGGTAACTGGTCACAAGAATTAAATTAACTACCACTTTTGTTCAGTTACAATATTTCCACAATATTATTTTATTTACTTTCAAGTCTAAATAGAAAATGTTTACATGTACCAGCTACAAGCATACTATATCATAAACGCATTAGTATATGCTCAAAAATCATTACGTAGATTCTCCCAATCTTTATAGTATTGCAAAGAGGCGTCTTCATTTGCGTGAAAATCTAACTCGCGGCCTAAAGTATGCGAGATCTCGCATGTGAGAACCGCACGAAAGACATCTGTAGTTTGGCCGGTAGCTTATGAGTTCTGACTTGCTATTTATGGTTGTTGTTGTCGCGAAGAAATATTTTTTTATGTTAGTTTTACATTTATTTTATTTATTTATATGCTAGAGAGAACTTTACAAAAATATAAATTAAACACATAAAAAAATTTTATCAACATGATTGATGCTAAATTTAATGTAGTTGCCTTAAGTGTACATAAGGTACAGAGAACAAAGAATTTGGACGAATGAGACATATATCAAAGAAAACCGGCAAGTATATGCAAAACTCAAAAAAGAAAGTTGGCGTTACAGATCAAATTGTAAATAAATAACTCAAACAAAAATTGGCTTCTGTGTCCAGTACATTTTACAAACAGCTGATTTCGAAAACTGTCACTGCTCTTTTGTATTGTTGCGAAAATGCGAGGCGAATGTCAGATGAAAGAGAGAAGCCGATAACTAGTACGTTCTAGAAACGATAAAACAAGAACCTTCCATAGCGAACAATTCGATGCTTCTACGCTTTCGTCTGCGAGCAGCCGACTGCTATATAAAGGCAGCACTCAGCTGCAAGTCAAGTCAGTTACAAAGTGACCTCGTTGGCGTTAACATCAGTTAAGTCGTAAAGTAAACGCGTCGGGAATTACATTTAAGTAGAGTAAATGGTGAAAGTTTATGCAAGTGATTGTAGCTAGTAAAGTGCCTTGTAATTGAATTGTGTATTACGGAGTAAATAAAGGACATTAGATAAAATCTTTATTACGAAAGAAACTGCAAATTAAGTTGGCGAGTTTTATTTAACAATCCAGAGATCGTACCCGAAGGATTTAGGAAATCATCGAGGTTGATTTAGTAAAATCGTAACAGTATTTTGGGGTTAGGAGTAGGTGCTACTCGCTTGAACATCTTAACTGTTCAAAAACGCTTTCTCCTTATAAGTTATGACAGATAATTGCGAATTAACTTTAATTTATTTTAGATACTTCGATGTATCCTTAAAAACAAATAAATCATTGAATTGTTTGATTTTTACCTTTGAGATATATTTTGGCTTTTTTATGCCTCTTTTTAAGACCATTTAGGTGGATCTTTGAAAAACTTCTGGGAACAAATTCAATTTCGGATGTTAAAGAAAAGTAACAAAATTTACTCTACCGGTAACAGTGAGAATAGGCCTGCCTGCCAATATCAAATTTTCGTTCGATGAATTCGCCTTGGATTGTTTTTTGACGTGCTTTGCTTTGACAATTTTAGTTTTCTGTTTTGTATATTGTCATTCGGTCAATACGCAAAGAACGTAATTTCATTTATTTACGTTCTCTACACTGCTGAAGCACGAAAACTGCGATAACAATTGAAAAGACGCAGAAATTTTATAAATGTAATTAAAAGAATATTACTGCATATATTTGAGTGATTTGGGCGACATATTAAATTAAAGCTATCTAATTTATAAGTAATTTACTTGCAAAATAATAAGTTCATGTAAAATGTGCAAGTAAAATTTTAGGTGTTGCTTACAAAGCAACGTGATTCGTATAGATTTCTAGGAATACCAACTGACAATTTGTTCAACTGCTGTATCTTATAAAGAAATCTACAGAGTAACAAGTTTGTGGCGTCGGTGGGACGGTAAGTATAGTAATTATTTTAAAAGAGAATGATCGAAAATTATCTTCCCTAATAACCGTAAAACTTACAGATCTGCCATTCACAGAGTGTTTAAAGAGCTGCTTTGAAGATAAACCAATACGGTAAATATATTTAATTTAAAGCGATCGGGATAGGCCACCAGAATTCTAAATTAATACCGCGTACGGTGCGTACAGTCAATCGGATGGCCCAAGTTCATATCTCGGTGCCAGCAGCATCCAAAAGTTATGGAAAATTAATTTAAATAAAAAATTTTGTTAAATTTTCTAATTGCGGTCGCCCCTGTTCTACGAATGTAATTGTAAAACCATCAGCCATCCGGAGGCGGCTTATTATAAAGTGTAAGCTCCTCCATTTGTTGAAAAAATTCAAGACACAGTGGTTATAAAACGAAATAAGTTAGATGTTATTAACTTAATATGCAGCTCCAGTTGAAATTAATAGCCATGCGGGCATATATCGGCGTAATTAAAATGAATTTATGAATCTCGTGGATCGCGCAGATCCTAACGACTGCTGATAAAAACAAAAAACGAACATCGACTTTATATAACTTTTTCAGAAAAATATAAAAAAATTACCTACTTCAAAATAAAATTTAAATGATGTAGAGTAAAAGAAACAAATTATGTTTTAAACTTATCCATATATTTTCTATATTTGTTTGTAGATGTGTATATTTTATTGAACAAACATTCAAATAATTTTATTATACGCAGGAAATCAAAATGTCTCCTCTGTCCTGCCCCACGGAGTCTATTGACTTTTGGAGGAATGAACTGCCTCAGAGTGCGGAAGTTAGCTGTCTTATGCCAAATGGCATAATCATATTAATAGTGTTTCCCATCAACTCGACAATAAGGGAAATTAAAACGGTGAGTGAACACAGAATGCGTGAGTGTTACTATTACCATGTTTTGGCGTGCGTTAAAAATTTTGGAACTGCAACACATAAATTTGTGGTCTTTTTTTGATTTAAGCAAGGGCGTAAATTTTTAAATATAGAAAATTTCAAGTAGTTCGATGCTCACTTATTGCTCGATCAACACCACCTCTTCATATTCTTTGCGTTTGTAAATCTCTTAGTCATATTTGACAACCCCTTCGGCCACCTGGGCACTCGTCGCACCAACGTAGGCTGCGCATTACACAGTAACTTGTTTAGTAATTATGGTTCTATTTTTTAGTAAAAAAAAAAAAATCGCGAAATGCTGTATGTAAGTGCAACATGCAAAAATAATATACATATATTTTTAGTAAGAACTATTATAAGCAAACTTCCAATGGCGGCACTAGTGGTTAAGGAATGGATCTTAGCTGAAAATAGTAAACTATAAAAATAAGTGTGATGTGTGGCTTCCTCAGCTTAATGCTTAGGTCTGGATATTATAGCAGGTTAAACTCCAACTTATCCAGACTCGAACCCGCCATACCTGCATGCAACGAGTCCCGGCACGTCACTAACCACCTCTTTGCATGACCCCTACTCCAACTTATCCGACACCTCTTCCGACGATATATCTTCCCTTATGCGACCTCGATGACTAACTAGCCTGTTCCTAAGCGAGCTTGGCGAACCACAACAACGACAGTGGCTACTCTGGCGAAGTCATGTCGTACTTTTGGAAAAATCCAATCTAGTTTACAAAGTATTTGATGCAATATGCTTTGATGGAAGCAGAAGAAAGAAAGATCGTCAGTCAGCGAACCGCTACAACAACAACATCGTTAGTCCGTTATAAGGATAAGGGGAAAGGAACTTGATTTGATTTTGTATTTTTTTTTTAAAATTTCGCCGAGTTTTCGGTAATATAATTACGCATGTATTTTGAGATTTACATAAAGTGCATTTGGCGATTATTATGTCTGAAATTATTAGCAGAGAGGAATGACTGAATGTTTGCTTTATGAACTTTCTGCTGCTAAAGCATTGAAAATGTGCAAAAGGTGGCAGACTCTCTCAAAACAAAAGAAAATATATATATATAAATAGTCGAACATAACAAAGAAAGTAAATAAATCATTGAAGACGAACAACTACAACTAAGCTGAGTAGACCACAACGCTTCAACCCGGATTGAGTTTTCGTGAGTTTTGAGGAATGTTTCCAACTGGGATTGCTGTGAAATCTATGAAATGGATTTAAAAAAATGGTGTGCAATATTTTGAAAGCTATAATAAAAATCACCTTTAAAAATATGCATAGTGTTTCCAATTGACTCCAAATAGTGAAAAGAAGAAGGTATGACACTTTATTGTTGTCGGCTTTAATAGTGGAAATGTTGCCTATGCCAATGAAGAAGGCAAATAAGCATCAGGCCTACATCAATACCACATCTTATGAATTGTCAATGACTTATATAATAACATATGCTTTAAAATAATATTGTGGTACAGTAAATTACTTTTTAAATGTACGAAACTATACTTTAATTTATAACAGCAATTTTTGCTATTATGTTTCAGGAAGTAATTCGACAAGCGAAAAACTTTCCCTTATGCCATTTAATTAAAGACCCATGTGACTATGAAGTAAGCGGCATTTCGAATTTTGCCAATGTGGATTGTTTTAGTGATGAAACAAAACGATTATCTGAAATTCAACCATTTTTTTGCCTATTGCGCTTGGGTGAACGCACAGAAACTTCAACAATATCCAGTGATTATGAACTATCCAAATTAGTAAGTAATATGATTGGAAAGTCATTTGAAGAGTATAGTGCGCAGCGTACTCCCGAGGTGGATGATTTTCGTCGCAAATTGTCTCATTTATGCGACAAAATGGAACAGGTACGATCCCGCTTCACATGGTCAGAGAAGTTACTCTACGAACACCCAATGCGTGTTGCAAATACCCCAGTAATGCCCGAGCTGATACGTAAACGGTTAGGTGGTACAAGTTTTTTAATTGTTGTCAAATTGGAGAATGACGAAGGCTCCTATACAATTCCCGTTAGTGAACACGACACTTCGAGCACAGTGATTGAGTCTGCATTAATGAAGATGCAGCGTTCTCAAATAAGGGTTGGTGATCGGCCATCAGACTATATATTGAAAGTGCGCGGGCGAGATGAGTTTATATTTGGTGAATATCCCCTTATCCAGTTTATTTACATACAGGTACTTACCTTACATAATTGGTTAAATACAATTTAAAAACATTTCAACAAGTTTTTGATTTTGGCTTTGTCTTAAAGGAAAGTCTTTCTGGATCTGATGTACCTAATGTGGTTTTAAAACCTATTCACACTTTACAATCATACATAAACTACAAAAACGATTTGAGCTTTCCTTATAAACGAGCACGGAAGACAGAAAATAATTCCTTAACTGTCCTTAATACTCAGAACCAGTGTCAAGACCAAAAAATCATTTCATCATGGGATATTGAAAATCCATTTAGATTGAGTTTACATCAAATAGAGAATGTAAACTGCGATCTCTCTCGTGCTATAAAGGTAGGCGTACACGTTGGTCTTTTTCATGGCGATCGCCGCCTTTGTGCGCAGCAATCAATTGAAATCGCTATTAGCAACAATCGTTCATTTACATTTGATAAAGATATCTCATTTGACATTCAAATTAAAAACTTACCCCGAATGGCTCGCCTATGTATGGCCATATATGAAGTAACAAAAGCATCGCGCTCCAAAAAGTCTTCAAATACAAGTCGCGACAATATCTACAAGGAAGCAAACACATATGTGAATAACAATCCATTGGCTTGGGTTAATACGACTGTGTTTGATTATAAGCATCAAATGCGTTCTGGATGTTTAGCACTGTATACATGGACTTACGCAGATGATATACAGTCGGATGAGATATTACATCCCCTAGGGACAATTGAGCCAAATCCCCGAAAAGATGGTTGTGCTATAGTAAAGCTATCATTTGATAGGTAAAAATTGTTAATACATATCTAAGCAAGCAATTTTTAATAATGAACTGCAATTATAGTAATGGCTGTGAAAATATTCAATTTCCATCTATGGAGGCGATGCTGAAATATGCGGGAGAGCTAGACTACAATGAATCTTTTAATAAAGAAAAAATAAATGATAATGTCAAGCCGATAAGTTCTATGCTATCACAGTATCTCCGTATTGATAAAGTATACGAAATGCATGATCAAGATCGTAATGCTCTATGGTCGCGAAGGTAAAATTGTATTGCTTGCAATGAAAACAATAATAACTAATCACAATTCCTTACATTTATTTAGGTATGAAATTTTAGCCGAAGCACCTGAAGAGTTGTCAACTTTATTACACTGTGTTAATTGGAATGAGCGTGATGAAGTTGCAGAGACTTGGAGGCTCTTGCAACAATGGCCTACAATTTCAGTTGAAAGATCGCTTGAATTGCTTGACTATGCGTATCCAGATCCAGCAGTGAGAAGTTTTGCTATACGTTGTCTTCGGTTTTTAAGGTTAGAATTAACTTAATAAAGCGTTAATACAATCTTAACTTCTATTAATATTTTCATTCTGTAGAGATGAGGAACTCCTTCTGTATCTCTTACAATTGGTACAGGCTATGAAGCACGAGTCTTACCTAGATTGTGATTTAGTAACTTTTCTTCTGGAACGTGCTTTACGAAACCAACGAATCGGCCATTATTTTTTTTGGCATCTACGTTCCGAAATGCAAACACTCTCTATGCAGACCCGTTTCGGATTATTACTCGAAGGGTATTTGAAAGGCTGTAAGCCGCATGTGCCTCATCTTTGCAAGCAACTTAAAGTATTAGATGCACTTAAAGCTGGTTCTTTGATCGCCAAAAAGGGTAGCAAAGAAAAGGGTAGAAAGGAGATGCAAGATTTTTTTTCAAGACAAAGCAATAGTAGTATATTTCAAAGCATACAAAACCCATTGAATCCAAGTTTTCGTTGCAAAGGCATACAACCTGACAAATGTAAGGTAATGGATTCGAAAATGAGGCCACTTTGGGTTGTGTTAAAAAATGCTGATCAAAGCTGTAATGATATTTATATAATTTTCAAAAATGGAGATGATCTACGGCAGGATATGTTAACGCTGCAAATGCTACGTGTCATGGACCAATTGTGGAAGAATGAGGGGTGAGTAACAAATGTTTAACTAAATGAATTTAATTATATCTCATTATAATATTACTATTTAGAATGGACTTTCGAATGAATATATATAACTGCATTAGCATGGAACGTCGTCTAGGAATGATCGAAGTAGTGCTAAATGCGGAAACAATCGCCAATATACAGAAAGAAAAAGGTATGTTTTCCGCAACTTCACCTTTTAAAAAGGGTTCCCTATTTAGCTGGTTGAAGGAATATAACCGCACTGACGAAGAAATGAACAAAGCAATAAACGAATTTACCTTAAGTTGCGCTGGATATTGTGTTGCCACGTATGTTTTGGGCGTGGCAGACCGACACTCAGACAACATTATGGTCAAACGTAATGGACAGGTAAACTCGAAAAAATAGTTTCCATTTTTAAAATTTAAGAATATATTCGTTTGTTTTACAGCTTTTCCATATTGATTTTGGCCATATTCTTGGCCACTTCAAAGAAAAATTCGGCGTACGTCGGGAACGTGTTCCTTTTGTCCTAACACATGATTTTGTATATGTTATAAGTAAAGGACGTAATGATCGAGACTCTGAAGAATTTTTGTATTTTCAGAATATGTGTGAAAAGGTAGTCAACATTTGTTTGCTTATTATTTATTTACTCAATATATACATACATAAAACAGTTGCATGACATACAATTATAATAATGTACGTTGCAGGCATTTCTAGTACTCCGAAGGCATGGTTGCCTTATATTATCCCTATTTTCAATGATGATATCAACTGGACTGCCCGAACTATCATCGGAAAAGGATCTAAATTACTTAAAAGAAACTTTAGTATGCACACAATATCAATTTCTCTTTATGTATTATATCATAATTTTTTTAAGGTCCTCGATTACACTGAGGATAAAGCTCGTGAACATTTTCGTTCAAAGTTCAGCGAAGCTTTAGTCAACTCATGGAAGACATCATTGAATTGGGCTTCACATAATTTTTCGAAAAATAATAAACAGTAAGAAAATGCATTTAAAATAGTTACATAAGTACATAATATGCTCGAACAACTACTTTCAATTCTGGTATATAAGTAAATGAGCGTTAAGATGTTATAAAGCCCTATTCTGCATTTGGATTACGTCTCCGCATTCCACTCCGCAAGGCTCGTAATTTTGTATTCTGAGTTACGCTCGAATCGAAAGAAGAAGGCAAGATATTTTTGAAATCAGCTCGGCGTATGTGAATGTATGAAATTGAAACCCAATAAAAAAATAGGCACAAACTATTACTGCTTATATAAAATAAATAAAAACCTAATCGCGTTTGTTTTAGCATAATAGTAACTATGGAATCAATAGTCGCGGCGATATTACAAGAGTTGAAATGAGTGGTATTAGTGACGTGTGTTAATCCTTTTCAGATGAGCGACAAAAAATAATAGTAATTGTCTAATTTCTCCGAAGTCATGCAGTGTCTTGGGTCAAGTGCGCTTAGAGCAATAGAAACCTACTTTGAAAGCGAATTTGAAAATAATTATTTGAGTTGCCTTTGTAATAGCAAATAAATAAGCGTCATTAAAGCTCAAAAACCTAAAAAGAACATTTCTCATCATGACTTCTACACTGACAAAATCAAGTTTTCTTGCATTTTTGTAAAAATTATATTATTGAAGTAGACGAAAATATAAATTCCGCCAACTAAATTACTATGTAGGAAAACGTAGCCCACAATATATAGAATTGTATAGATTCGTAAGTTTCGAAAGCTAGTCGAAACGGAACGCAGAATTGCGCTGATTCGTATTCTTTCATTTTACAATTCAAAAAATTATTAGGTGGAACCATTATATAAAAAACAAGGCAGTTTCATTCAAAAATTTTTTCAAAAATATCAACCACCTGACAAAAATATATTTTGAATTTTGTTTTATTTTTGTGCTACCAATTTCATTTTTAAAAAAATAACTTTTCAACTTTCTAAAATGAAAAATATTTATTACAAAAAATGCAAAACCTTTCTATCAATGCAAATTTACACACGGTAGTAGCAAGAATTCAGAAACGGTAGTTTCGAGAAGTCAAAAACGAAGTTCGTTCATGTATTTTGTTGGTATAATAAAAAGTTTGTAATGTCAAAACCTATTTCTCACGTATTTTATTTGTGTAATTTGTTGAAATGGAAGGAAGAACAAGCAATCCATTCAATGTTCAATTTTTTCACCATTTGTTCCAAGCATCGTAGAGGCAAATTCACACGCGGTAGTAGCAAGAATACAAAAACGCTATGTATTTTGTTTGTGTAGTAATATTTCGAAACGCCAGAAACGATATTGGTTCAATGTATTTTGTTGGTGTAATAAAAAGTTCGTAATGTCAAAACCTATTTCTCATGTCTTTTATTTTTTTTTTTAAATTGTTGAAATGGAAAGAAGAAGAAATTATGATACGGTCTGAAAAATTCGCCTATAAATTCTCCTTTCATTCGTTCTAATAACTTTTGAAGTTGTTTCACTTGTCGTATATATTGCATTTTGCTCAGTTATGTTATTGCCGACTGCGATACAAGCTTCAAGTCGCAGGTATACATACATACATATATGTCTTATAAATTTACTATAGTTGATTTTTATTTTTCTGATTAGTTACAGAGTAGAATATATACGAAATACATATGCAGTTCTCATAATTCAATTCAAAATTGTTTATACTCTTTCTTCCTTTTTGTAAGTTTTATGATGCAAAAATTCCTCTTTACGTGAAATATATGTACATCAAAAAATTTAAAATTTATTGTTATATTCGTATTTGGATTAAGCATTAAATGTAAGATTTTTTATATTTCGAAAACCTTGCAACTTGAATTAAGTTAACAAAACTATTTTATAAGCGCTGACAATCGGGGTTTAGTAAGAGAATTATTTTTCACTTGAATGCCTTCTGGTAAAATAAAAGAATCTACAATCAATTTAAATTTACGATAATCATCGAATTAATAACGTTTGCAACTTATATTAACAGCTTTTAAAAAAAGAGGTCTAATTAATTTCAGCTATTAATTTCAGTGTACCGAGGCCGCGGTAGCCGAGTGGTTAGCATTGCGTTCTGCCATTCGAAAGGCTCGGGATCAAATCCTGGTGTCGTACTAACATCGAAAAACTTAAAGAAAATTAATTTAAATACAATAAGCTAAATATTCTAATTGCGGTAGCTCCTCGGCAGAGAATGTGTCAACCCCTACGAGTGTATTTCAGACATGAAATAAATCTCCTCGTAAAAAATCCATCAGCCGTTCGGAGGCGACTTAGTATAAACTGTAGGTCCCTTCATTTGTTGGAAAAACATCAAGACGCAAACCCACAAATTGGGAGAGGAGCTCGGCCGAAAAATCGCTTCAGCGGTTACAAAGTGCCAATTATTAACATCGAAAAACTTAAAGAAAATTAATTTAAATACAATAAGCTAAATATTCTAATTGCGGTAGCTCCTCGGCAGAGAATGTGTCAACCCCTACGAGTGTATTTCAGACATGAAATAAATCTCCTCGTAAAAAATCCATCAGCCGTTCGGAGGCGACTTAGTATAAACTGTAGGTCCCTTCATTTGTTGGAAAAACATCAAGACGCAAACCCACAAATTGGGAGAGGAGCTCGGCCGAAAAATCGCTTTAGCGGTTACAAAGTGCAAATTATTAATTATGTATATAAAGATATGGTTACTCCTTCAGACCAGTATCCGTTTTATGAAATTTGTCATCATCAAAACGCAAAGTAACTCTTGTATGCCCTAGCTTTCCGAATTCTATCTTTGAAGTTCGATTCGACGTTGGCCTGTTGGCGAATACCTAATCTTTCATGTGGTCTCAAACGAAAAAGTCACAAGATGTTATATCACCTCTTCGAGAGATATTACGGTCCGTAAATTGTTCAGATCAATACTACCCAATTTCGGCCTTAAGAAATCATTAACCACCTCCCGATAACGCGATCCACAGATTTTCGAAAAAGTAAGGTAAAATTACTCGCCGGACCATAAACCACACCAAACACTTACATGTGTGATGGGGAGGCTTTTCAACAATAAATCTTGGGTTTTCCCAGCCTCTTTGTAAGCCCATAAGAGCAGCGGACGCGTTTGGTTACTTGAAGTAAGGGGCCCGGATGGTCTAAACTATGTCCACGTGGTTTATGGACAATGATATGCTGGTAGCGTATTATATTTTAACAGGTACCTTTGTTAATTAATAAAGCTTTATTTACTTATTTTCATCATTCTTGTTTCGTAGATAATAATAGTGCTTGCTACGCTGCATAACTGAATCTACAGCCTTCGCATTTTGTTTTAAAGAATATCTTAAACAACTAATTTAATCTTTGAAATCGGTCAATTAAATTTAATTTAATTAAGTAAAACGAAGTTGTTCTACACCTAATTCTTTCTTTTCCTTCCATCCGGGGATCCTGCAATACTTACTTTCAGTGCTAGGGTGTGTCGGTTCCCCCGCACGATGTGATTTAGGAAGCATAGCCTTGATTCATAATTGCTGTTAATGCTGATTCCTAGATAGACGACTACAACTTCAGGGTTATGACTGTGACTGTGCCGATGCGCCCACTGTTTATTTTTATTTTTTTTTTTTGTTGATTTCTGGTTGACAAACTGCTGAAGGTAAAAATTTTATAAAATAACTCAGCGAAGAGTTCAAACCAATTGTTTCACTACTCTGTTTTCCTTAACGTAAAATAAAAAAACTAATTAATACTAAATCTACAGTGACAAGTGATACAAATATTATTCATGACAGAATTTGGTTGTTATCTGTGCTATCGTAAGTTGGATACTGGAGGTTTTTGTGAAATATTTTTATGCCTAGAATTTATTTTTACTTATGTGGCTGCCCCACCTACATACATTAAAACAGCAAAACTTTGGTATCCATTCAGCAAAAAAGAAACCGTATCTCAGTTTTACCAATAAATTTCACTGTTATGATCTTAATCTGATTCACATAAACAAGGAACCACTGAAATCACATTATCTAAGTAGTTAAAGCTCTTTTGAAGGTCATGCAAATCCAAAAAAGTGTATGAAGATGTAGAAGTAGTATTCAAAAAAAATTATATTGAAAAGTCTCTGCGTGACTAATAGTAGTAAATTCAGAGCTTTAAAACCTTCATGATCATGACCTAATTTTGAAATGGAGACAGGGCTTATTATTATTTAAAATTAATTAAACCAAATTATACTTTATGTATTGTACAAATGAAAAATTTGTAATAGTTGCTAAAATATATAATATTTATTATATGATATTTTCCCTTAAACATTCCTAAAGTAATAATAAATAAATATTTGGTAATAAGGTAGTTTTAAAAAATTATTCAGTATGAAGCATTAGTGGAAATGATTTAATACAAAATGCGAAATCGATTAAAATAATATCCAATAGTTTTGAGAAGGACTACTGGAAATTTTAAGATGGTTTACCTTTGAATTTTTCACTATACAGATATTTTAAAAATTAGTTTGAGTATCTAGACTTTTACCGCTAAGAATATAATAAATATATGTAAGTTATATACACACACACATGATATATTTATGAACATTTTTTTAAATCGCTTACAACATTCGTTATATGATATTAAAATCCTGTTTTGTTAAAATGTTGTCCTAAATTATCAGATATCTAATTCTAGCGAAATGATAGCATTCGTGCTACAACACTATGTCTTTTTAGAAGATAAAGCCTATTCTATTGTAGTTAAAGGTTTGTAATTGTTTTTAATATACAAATAAATATTATTTTCATATCTTTTAAAGATTTTTTATTAGCCACATACTAGTAATATGCAATATAGTATTTACATTAATATAAGTGTGTTTATTGTTAACAGAGATAATTTTGTTCATTTATAACATATTGATCTTTCCGCCAAAAATGCCTATATACATACGTGTATATGTATGAAAGGCTACATATTATTAATTTGTTAAAGGATGTCAGTTTCAAAATTTATAAT